AGTGCTGATGCTTCTTCTGACAATTTCCCTGTCCCTGTACCGGCTTGGTCTGGGGCTTGGGGCTGATACTGAGAGAAATAGTACCGCGCTAGCATCCGCTGTACCTGTTGCACAGCACTGAAGAGGTCCGTAAGCTCTGTAGCTGACAGCTCGGTTAGCCGCTTGTGAGGCGCACGTGGACAAACGAGGACGTGGCCTGGTAGTAGTGGCTTTAGGTTCACCAGAGCGAAGGAGAGGGGTGTTGCCATGAAAACCTAAGTTATACGCGTGAGTTTCCGAAATCTATCGTTTCTTATAGACAAATGCTCTGTAGTGTGTGTGTGTACCTGGGTTGTAACGTCGAATGGCCCAAAGTGAATAGGACCCAGGGCCCGCTGGGAGATACTGTTGCTGTTCATTTTGCTGCGCCAGGGATGTAGCTGCGACGTTGATTTGTACGGAAATCTTGAAATCAGAGGTATTGATCTTCTTGTCATTATCATAGTGTGTGCTTTCTGAGGTTACCTAGGTAATGCTTTTGGGTACAACTGTTGATGTTAGTGGGTGCAAGTGGTTTTGGGGACGGGACCTTGAGTGTTTTACAAGTTCCAATTTGATTGGCTATAGCATGACGTTAGGGGGGCGTGTTGAAGCCTGTCTTAGGTACCTCGAGTAGCTACTAACTCTATTAATTGTTAAGAACAGGACAAACACAACCTCACAATTCAAATCTACTTGTCCATGTAGCTAGCATCTTAATGGAGTATTAAAAGGTGACAACCAAGTCAACTATATCACCATGTTCTTAGATTTAGGAGATGGAAGCTCTACCGAAACTGGTGTAGACAGGCAATACCTACATACATAGGTAAGATATCGGGCTTCCCGTTTTACCACCGACTGTAAAGGAGTTATCTCCGAGGAATGCGCGATGTGTACGGAGTATACATGTATGCTTATACCTGTTTCGGGTTTACCTTTGTTATGCGTATACTGGATATTATGCCTTTCTCACATGCATATGCCTTTCTCACATGCATATGCCTTTCTCACGAGCTTTCAAAGTTTAATGAAAGAAACGGCAGATTCCATACCTACTTACCTATGTCTCTACTCTTTGAAACAAACCAATCACGTCTCCCTCCATACTGTGTATAAGTATTCAAACAATTTAGCTCTCGATTGCAAGTATCGGTACCCAATGACGTAGATCAAGAATAGGTGGGTTAGGAGGTAAGTAAGCGTATGCCTATAGTGAAGCGCTACTACCTTGAACAATGGTACCTACATAATGTGAGAACCAGTTTCTCCAGGTTCTTACGCAGAATGAGACGTGTAAGATGAGACTCTGGCTCACAATAAGTTGTTAACCGATATAAAATCATGAGAGCTGATATCGCGGTATCTACGGGCTCACAGTTCTAGAATGGCCTGCTCACCTGAAGATAATGCAACAGCTGGGGCCCGAGGGGATGAGACCGCTACCACCAACTCCCAGGCCGCACAGCTGGCACAGCCCACACATCTTCGGAGCTGCGTTTTGTGTAGGCAACGCAAGGTCAAATGTGACCGGCGCCAACCGTGTTCCAACTGCATACGAGCCGGGACCAACTGTGTCCACCCTCCCGGTGCGGGCCGGGCGGCTAAGCGACCACGTCCAGCTGTGGACGCCAAAGTGCTAGATCGACTTTCCCAGTTGGAAACCACTATTAGGCGCCTACAACAACAAGCAAAAGGCCGCGAAGCCGACCCCCATATAGCCTCGGAATTCATACCGCAACATGCACCGTGGGCAGACTCCCAAGCCCGGGAGCGTAAGAGTTTCCTCGATGAGGCGAGTCAAGAGACCGAAACGATCCCAGAGTTAGGCCGTCTCGTTATTGAAGAGTCTCAGAGCCGTTATGTTAGCAATGTGATGTGGGCAGACTTAACTGAGTCGGTTAGTCTATCAGATTTTACTGCTCTTCATTGGGGATTCGAGCTGATATCATGGAGATCGAGCAATTACGCGGAATGTTTCTTGACTCCACCCCGAAGGATGATGATTCTGTCCAATTCGATGATAGAACCCCGCCATACGACGCAGAATCTCCGACTCAGGGATCCTTGGGCACAAATGCGGCTATACTAGGGTACCGGTCTCTTACTCATTCTTTGCGAGATTTCCACCCTTCCGTCGAGCTATCCATGAAACTCTTCCAGCTGTTTCATGATAATGTTTTACCAGTGGTGCGCATATTCCATACACCAACTCTGATACGTTTTTTCTGGGGTGCGGTTGTTAAAACGGACTCCCTGGACAAAGAAACAGAGGCACTGCTCTTTGCCATCTACTACGCGGCCGTTATCAGCATAGACCCCACTCATTGTGCCAATGTTGTGGGAGCACCACGATCCGCTATAGTTGAACGATATAGGTTCGCAGCAGAGCAAGCACTGGCTCGCGCCAACTTGCTGAATACGCACAGCACGTTACTCTTGCAGGCAGCTATACTATACATCTCGGTGTTGCGGTCTGATGACGGCACACGCACGGTGTGGTCACTCATCGCACTTGTGTCACATGTAGCACGCACAATGGGCTTGCACCGAGATGGAACGGCATTCAATCTTTCACCCTTCGAAACAGAAATGCGTCGGCGCATATGGCATCAGGTCTGTTTGCTTGACCATCGTTCTACCGAATATCACGGTTACGAGCCCATCGTAGCCGATGAGACGGCGTTCGACACTCGCTGGCCTCTCAATGTGAACGATTCCGATCTTTCTAGTGATATGGCTGAGTTGCCACCCGAAAGTGATGGTGCTACGGATATGACACTTGTCCACGTTCGATGCCATGCGTTGCAAATTAATTGGAAAATGAAACGGTGAATAGCTTCGACCCTTTTCTATTTTCTTTTTACATTTACTCCCGAGTCCCCTATTCCATAGTGCTATCTCATCCCATCCCGGCTGACTAAAACCTATCCATATTCATGGGTTTACTGCACCTAGACAATGCTAAGCTAACCCCGTACCTAGGGCGAGCCGCTCCTCATTTCAAGCTCGTGTCCAACTTATCGACGAGCATGACAAATGGGTTGAAAGTTTTGTAGGACGCTGCGACCCAGCTCAGCCGTTACTTTATCTCGCGAAACAGATATGCTACATAGCCGCAGGGCGAGTTCGGGCACTTTTATACTATTCCGAGCTAAGGACTCGGAAACAAAGGAGAGAAGCTAACGCTTCTCATGCTAGTAATGCTGACAGCGGTATGGAGGGGTCTAGCAGCGTCGGCTCCGAAGTCGAACCAGATAACAAGGCCTTGAGGGATTGTATTTTTGCCACTGCAGTCGACATACTCAAAAGGACGCTCGATATAATGGAAGAATCACGTCTAGACCAGTTTGTGTGGCATTTACAAACTTATGTTCAATGGCACACATTAGCTCTCGCTTTATCAGAGATTTGTATTCGCCCGCCGTCCCCACAATGCGATGCAGCTTGGGAATATGCAACAAAGGTCTACCACAAGTGGCTGCTTGTCAAAAATCGGGACAGCACGGAGCGTGGAGACGATTTCGTCAAGCCCATCGGCCAGCTCATTGCTCGAGCTCAGCACGTGCGGGGTATGCAGCAAGCGGAGCAACAGCAGCAACAGCAGCAACAGCAGCAACAGCAATATCAACAACAACAACCGCACCACCAGACACAAATGCAGGTGCTGAGCTGGACGCCATCAAGGAATCAGACATCACCCATCTTCGATGGTATGAATCATGGACCCCGTCGAGCCAACCAAGACCCCATGACTGCGGAAACAACCTCGTCGAACGTTTCACACAATGACATCAGCGACTTCGATTCCTTTTTAGAGATGTTGCCCGATGAGTTACATAACGAATGGTTTGAGACAATGGCGCGGGGCGACCTAAACCCTTATAGCCAATCACTTGGAACGACGTCAGCAAGGCCTTTCTTCGATTTTCCATAGTCTCTTATCCTTACGTGTGTTCCCGCCTCGTAAATAACCACATAGCTAAATGCGCTCACATATAGCCCAATATGTACCTCTTATCTTGGATTAGAGAGTCGCCCTTCGCGATTATTATAGCTAACGTCCTGATGACATCAAAATGGCTGGGACCGGCTATACTCTAACAGTGTGGTAAAGGATTAGGTTAGATACAGACGTACATAAACTTAGAAAACTACACAAGTGAGCCTGAACCTCTTTGTGAGATAATCTCAGCTCATCTCAAGGGCTCTGATCATTCTGGGTCATTAGCAACTTGTATATCTATTGATGAGACGACGACTTGTCAATATTTTGCTTTGGAAACGTGACTCGGCGTCATTGTCTGAGTAATCCGCGAATGCTTCGTACTATAGTCTCAGAATTACACATGATTATGTATACCCTGTCACTTAGGCCAGTCACAGCGGTGGCTTTTTAGTGTAGAATTATTCGTTGATCTTATGGATTTCCCTGGCATAATCGAGATGGGCAATGTCGCGATAGTTGTGGTAACCCCGTACTATAGTAAAGGTGAAGGTCAGAGGAACCAAGACATAAATTTTGTGTGGGATTTCTTAACTGAACGTAGTCTACAGTAACAACTAGTGATGGCTAGAGCTGGATGGTGTGGCCCAACATCCCTACCTAGTATTATATGAGCAGAGCCAGTTTATTTAGCCTACCTCTTAACGTGTGTCTTCGAAGTGCATTCGAAGTGCCTTCTCCAGATCTATGACCGCCAGGCATCTACGTAAGGCCGACACCTAGGTAGATATCCAGGTACGCAGAATTATGCAGTTAAATCACAGGAACTCTCCGTACCTCACGTATCAGGTATGCAGGAACCTACCTACCTACCTATGTAGGTAGGTAAGTAGGTACTTGGGAGGTAGGTGGGTATGTATCAAGTACCCAGGGCCTGAAGGCAGTAACACCTTCCTTGGAAACCAGCAAACTCCCTGCCTCCCTTCTCATCCACCCCTCTAGCATACTTAATCCTATTCAGCCAGTGGTTCTTTCAACCGAATTGGTGTAGGGGTCAACATTCGGGATTCTCAGTCTAAAGTGATTTTCCCGAGCCAGGAGTTCGAGTCTCCTATTCGGTGTTTTTTTTTCGGTGCCTTTTCTTTTATTTCCCCTCGTTTTCTTCCTTAATTTCTTTCTTTCTCCTTCCCTCTTGCTAACATTAAATCTATGAAACCCACAGCACTATAAATAAAATAATTTTTGTCGATATTGTTACGTCCCGTGCCTCTTCCTATGGGGCTTGCCGATATAGCGAAAAGAGGACAATCGTGTTCGGTGGATGTTATATGAAGGTACTCTTGAATTGATGATGGCCTGTTTCCCCTATCCGTATTCCTTGACTCTCTCGCCCTCTAACTATCACGCTTCTGGAAGCCAATTCCCTACTATGGTCGTCTCGCAGATACACTGAACATATTAGACTCCGATCTAGACAATCTGGCAGATAAATTCCATCTAGTTAGTCTAAGCTTACGTTGAGGTGGTGCGAGGTAGTGCCTAGTGAGTACGACGGCAGAATCGTATGCTCTCACGCTCTTAATATGCTACTTAACTCGAGATCCATATAGTGTCGAACGTAACCGGCTTTGTTGACATGTCTATGGGTAAAAGCTGAGAATAGTCTATGACCAATGAAATCCGCCCCTAGGTAGGCCACACCCCTCCTTTCAGGATACGTATTAAAGGTAGTTTCAACTCTCGTACTATTCAAGTAGCTATTTGCATGAGACTTCTAGAGGAGTTGAATCCTCGCAAGATCTCATCTTATATCTCGGGTTTTTATTAAGCGTGCAATGCACGCATGTTATTGTGAACGTCTCGAAGAATAGGACTAAGCGCCTATGCACTAAGGCGGGAGACCCGGACCCTTGCTCCTGGAGAGTACCACTGTACCAATCTCCAAAGAAAGTTCGTTAGCAAAGCCCAAGAGCGGCGGATATTGTCACACCCTCGGTAAATAGTGATAACTCAGAGTGTAGGACAAGAAGACGATACTGTTAACCAATTCGTTTTGCGGAACATATCACACCCCGAGCAGATTCCGAGGAGGCCTTGGAATTTATTAGGGACTGGCTTACGCCTTGTAGGCAAACCCATCCATCTTGCCGGTTGGGAACCTGGACGGTTGGCCTTCCAACCCGGGTGCTTGATGTTGCCCTGTCGAATCTGCGACTTGTGCGTTGCGGCTCGTTACCAGTCGTGGCTTCGGCCACTATTGGGGTCCAATTCAACTGCTTCGGACTTTACAATGTAATATTGAGAGCTACGAGAAAGAAATAAACCTAGCATCGATGCCGAAGACTTTTCAGGACGTGGCTGGATCCCTGGAGATCTGGTATCTGTGGATCAACGCTCTCCGTATCATTCAAGACGACGATAAAGACTAGGGTAGAAAAACCGCTAAGATGGCAGCATACTATACCGGTGCTGAGGTTGTGATCTCAGCTTCATCATCACCAGGAAGCTCGGATGGGTTCTTGGGGCCTAGGAAAGAGTCTGTGAAGGGCACTCTGCTAATCGGAGGCAAACACGACATGTCCAGCAAAACAAGTCTGCTTCACTTCCGATAATGCGTGGCTGGGGATGGCGGTAGTATGTATCCCAAGACAGATAGGTTATCATGTCGATATCCCGTCGAGTCGCGGCTGGTGTTTCCAAGAGAGGCTTCTGGCCAGGCGGCTATTATCATTTGATAATCAGCAGCTGATCCAGGAATGCAATTCAGCTTGCTGCTGCGAAAGCTCAAATTCATCCAATCTAGACGTGGGCCTGGATGGGGTAACATCGGGGACTTATACGATTATGACTACAATATGTCAGCCCGACTTCGCGGGGCTTCAAAGGCGGATACATGTGAATTCTGGAGAATCAAGGCCGTTCAACGCTACTCCTCTAGAAGCCTCACAAGGAAAACAGACAGACTCGTAGTCGCCTAGGGTACTGCCGATGCGGCTAGAGAACACCTGAATGAAGAGTATATACACGGCCTCTGGAAATGTGATATTTCGGAGGGGCTCACCTGGTCAATACGAACCCCATATCTAGCCAGCAGCTCGCTCGATGCGGCCCCCACCTGGAGTTGGGCATCCGTGTATGCCCTATTAGTTACGCAACCTGGCCCGTAAGGGGTTGGTCTGCCGGGGTAATAGAATTCACTCCCCCCGACGGCTCGGGACTAAGACTATACGGCAATACACCTAGAGCAACAATCCAGTTGCGTGGCCAGCTGCTTGTCGCTCAAATAGAGGTCGGACCATCAAGACAGCTAATAGGGCTGTCGTCAATGTTCCTCGAAAAACAGGTCAAATAGCGCACTCCGAACCCTCCCGAAACACTGAGGCCCCCATTCATGTGTGGCTTCTTCATCTATTCAATAACAATGTGAAGCGTTACGCCATGCTCCTAGTTTTCGGGCTGTCAAAAAGCAGTCGATGCTGCATCCCTATCGGGATTTCATCAATTACCTTTAGGACAACCGAGAAGAATGTTATTTTCGAAAATTTTCTCAGAAATCAGCCAGTGTCCGAAGTCTCTATCCTTTAGCGTTTAGATCTCCTAAAGTGGGCTTTGATGTGTCCAAGTGCCCTCCATATCATGCATGCTATACGGCTTCCTTGATTGTCAGTTGGGCGGTGCGACTTCACTCGTCGGCTGTAAACCCGGCGTCCTTTGTTCTACAAGCACTACGTGTCGTAGACTAGAAGTGACTCAAATTTCTTTAGAATAATATTTCAATGAAAAGGCCTCGCCAACAGATACAAAAGTGTATATAAATGGTTATATAAATGGTTATATAACGTAGCACCGAAGGAAGACCACAGACAATTTTTTACCCACTGCCTGACGTTGACGTATCTATCTACCTAGCAGTGATGGGATATAAAAGCCCGTAAAGCCCATAAAGCGCAAAGCGGAAAGCGGAAAGCGGAAAGCCCCTCGCTCACCTTAGTAACACACGTTGATGTCAAGTCCTCGACCGCGAGTATGATTCTGTATCGCCGAGACGGTTTCGTGCAAATGAAATGTGCTCTTTAATAGAGCCTACACGAACTATTTACCTAACCACTCGACCAACGCGGCCTACCTAGGGGGTACCCCTAGGTAGGTAGGGTACGCACTTTTGCCCCACACTTCCAAGGTACTGACTGTTATTTATAGTGTGGGTCCGCCACAACCATTCTAAAGAGGTACCATTCTAGACGTGTGATTGCGTCAACACGGTGCTACCTGCCTTGCCTTGTACCTACCCCTCCAAGCATTTCAAATGCTCCAGGGTCTATCTACCTACCTATCTGCCTTAGGTTAGATAGATAGCAGGTATACCTACCTAGGTACCTAGACAAACTTCTTGACAACTTCAACCCTTCGATCTAAAGCTGAGATAGATTTCTAAACTGTCGACCGTCTCTTCTCCTTCCTCATATCTTCCACAGCATCTTGAACTGGCATGTTAATGCTGGCTGGTTCTACGATCGCAAGTCCCCTCTATTGGTCTCTAGAGCTTTCCTGGGCATACCTTGCATATCTTTCTAGCTCCGGTAGACGGAGAGTAGTACCTGGCATACACCCCAAGGTATAGATAGGTATTTCGTCACCCGTCAGAATTTACAAGCCTCAGCAGCAGCGCACCTGACGCAACTTAGCGGTGTAGCTTTCCCCTCGTGTTCTCCATATCCACGGCTGCAAGTTCGTGAAGACACCGACCTTCCCCGCCTACCCCCAAGCGACGAGTGAATCGGCTGAGAATACCTTCTTTGCGCACTACGCCACACCATGGACGAAGACGTGGACACCTTTATGATGGTGACGGGGGTGCATTCCCAACAGGTTGCCCGCGGATACCTTCAAATATCGGGTGGCCAACTGGACCAAGCTATCCAGACGTTTTACGACAATCCAGAGTTACAATCAAGCTTCAACGCTGCGCCTTCTGCACCTTCCGCACCTACTACCTCTTCTCACCAGCAAGATTCCTCATCTCGCGCTCGTAGTAGCGGCCTCACGGGTCGGGCGGATTCCCGTGAGGTCATACAGATCGATTCCGATGATGACGACGTCCAGATGATTGATGATGACGACAATGATGAAGATGTTGCTGCTATAGCTAGAAATGCCCAGGAAGAGGAAGATGCCGCCATGGCAAGGCGACTACAAGAAGAACTCTACGGATCCGGCTCAGGCGCCGTAGATGATGGTGTACGGGCTCCTATAGCACAGACGACGGAAACACTAGCGGGCCCCGACCTTTCGTGGGCGACGGAAGATCGAGAGCCCCGTCAATTTCGGCAACCACGGCCAAGTAGGTTCATAACAGTGGCTCTCGCCTCCACATACTAACCTCGTTGTAGATCGAAACGTTGTCAACCCCTTTAACCAGATACCCTCAATATGGGATGATGCATCTGCGCCCCCGTTACTACCGACTACGCGATCCGACCAGGGCACATCCCGAGCAGCCCATTTACGTGATCTCTTCCGACCGCCGCACGAGCTGATGAGTGATGCGACATGGGACGAGGCGAGAGACGAAGGCAAAGAAGAGAAGAAGTGGATTATGGTCAATCTTCAGGATCTAGACATCTTCCAATGCCAAGTTCTGAATAGAGATTTGTGGAAAGACGAGAACCTCCAGGTTTTGATCAAGGAACACTTCATCTTCTTGCAATACGATAAAAACGAGCGAAGAGCCCAATCATATACTCAGTTGTACTTCCCAAACGGCACCCACGAAAATAGTGACAACTATCCCCACGTTTCCATCATCGACCCTAGGACTGGGGAGCAGGTCAAGGTGTGGTCGGGAGACCCTTTCCCCAAGGCAGGCGAATTTTACGGGGATCTGATTGAGTTCCTTGACCGCTATAGTTTGGAAGTCAATAGCAAGAATCCCGTTGCCCAATCAAAGCCGAAACGCCAGCAGATCGACGTCGGCCGCTTAACAGAAGACGAAATGCTTCGGTTAGCTATGCAGAACAGTCTGGAGAATCACGGCGGTTCGTCTGTATCGAGTGTACAGGATCCAGACATGCTTACGAGGGCCAATGACGATACTAGCAAAGGAAAGGGCAAGGCGACGAAC